GGCACAAGCAGGCAGCTGTCCCACACAAGTAGACAGATGAAGGCTGTAAGTGTGAACGCAGGAAGGAGAGGGGAATTAACAGGCCGCTCTGCAGCATAGAGAAAGGCTCTGCTGGGAGTCCAACAGGGACAGTAGAGCAACGCTCAGAGGACCAGGCTTCGGTTAATAAACAAGAGTCCCTTAAGCCCCATTCTGTTTCAAATCTCTCACCATTATCTGTACAGTGAGTATTCATATGGACTACACTGACTGTGTTTGTGGTTAATGTTACTGTGTTCTGTCTCAAACCTATGACTGGTGATGGAGCTATGTATCTGTGGTTTACAGCCTGGAGAGAAAAGGATGTGAGCAGTTTTGTAGCATTAGCTTCTATGGTAAAAGAATGTTGTGGAGCTTCCACTCTCTCTGTCACTATATGAGAGCAACAACATTGGGGATACTGTATATATTTTTGGTTAGGACGCATGCTCTGTTTTGTACTTTCCCACTCTGAAGCGCACACTGGGAGGGCAAACAAAAATAACTGCAGCTTGGGGGTGGACGTAGTATCAACTGAGGAATGGGGGTGACACCCATATTTGAATTTCTGAATGCCACTGTGCATGCATGTGTATGATTGTGCATTGGTTCAGTCCTTTTTACCGTCGTGAACTAAATATGCCTCAGGGTTTGTCATTAGTCAAAGTAAACATGAGATCACAGTAATAAGTCATCTGACTGAGGCAGGCTAATTCTAGGCTGCCGTCCTCTAAGACATGAAGACAACTGGAATAACATGAGATACGAAACAATTGTGCTCCTGTTAAAAGCCTTTTCTTTAGACATACAAGAAAACCTATTTCCCAAGAAAGATAAGTGTCCACATTTCAGTCTACACCCGCATAGATGCCACCTAACACCTGAGTCACCTTCAACCTTCTCCTGGTGTCAGATTATGGCTGCTGACAGATACTTCTGGCAAAGAGATACCGTAGGAGCAGGGATTTCCCCATAACTGGAGAGCAGATGGAGCACAGTGAAGCACTGGCTGGCCTGACCAGGGTGTAACTTGACTCAATATCAGTCATCCGGTCTGAAAAAGATCTGTGCTGATCGGTACGGCAGGGGATTCAAATCAATATCACAATGTAAACTATAGTTCAAAAGTTATTATTATCATATACATTTGAAAAAGATTTGAGAATCATTTCATGATTTAAACCTCTATTTAGCTCATGTCTGCACTGTGTCGCACAGCGGGGGAGAATACTGTTGTAATCATGTTTTCCCCCAAATAAATACCCTTTGATTTTTTATTTGTTTTCCAGTGCAGAAAAGCATCAATGACCCAAGTTTATTATTGAACCACAATGATGCAATAGGACCGTTTTTCTTTGGGCTCTCTGCAGTCTGTGCAGTGGTTAGACCGTAATTGTGACTCCATAGTATGTTTAGCTGATATTTCCAGATCCATTTCCAATAGTGCCAGCTGACCTTTTCTTTCTGTAGAAGTTTGATAATAGCATTTAAATCGGAACACATTTTCACGCTAAGCTTAGTGTTTATTTTTACAATGACTGGTGATTGTTCAGTTTAATAGAGTTATAGGTATCCCTTTTAATAGAGAGTTTGATTTAACCATCATACATTGCTTGTTCTAAATGTACAAAAGATTCATTTATTTGCAAACAAAATATCATCTATTTGCAAAGAGTATGGCTTTCCTTGACTTAAAAAATGATTTGTTGACTAACACTCATATGATTTTGTTGATTTATCTATTAGTATATTTAATTGACAGGTCTGTAAAACTGAGCAACCCAACAAAGAATCATGTCAAAGCAACACTTTAGATCTTGTGTTTACCAGGGATGTGCTCATAAGTTTCTGTCATTCAGCATGAGAAAGCATTAGAAAAAACAACTAATTGACTAAGTAAATCTGTAACCTATGAGTAGCCAAGCAGATCAGCTTGATTGAGCCAACCCATTGATTAACAATGACCACTCGACTATAGTCTAATTATAATTGACAGCAGTCTATGCGCTTCCCAGAGAGGGCACAGCAGCAGGAGAAGAAGTCGACATGTACAGTACAGTTTCTGTGCTGCTCCAGCAGAGAGGAGTGGCTCTGACTGAGCATGACCTAACAGGCTGGCTGGACGACATTCCTACAAGCCCTGGGGTTTGCCTTCCTCCCAAACAGCTACGTAAGACACAGCTTCAACTGTCTTCCATTCAATGTCTACGCAACCAAGGAAGAAAATCCTGTGAGGGGGCGATTCACTTGGTTGTGAAGCCGCTCTATGTACGTTCTTAATGGTGTTTGATCTAAAACCATGTAAGATAACATGTATTTTTGATTCTGTGATTAAAACACAAGTGTGCAGACATGACGATGAGCACTAAGAGCAGCATGTTGCAGAGGGAAGTGGACCAAAAGGAACATACGGTACAGTAAATGCTGCATGGCATCTTCCATCAAGGCTCTTCGCCCACTAGAACTGTTCATTATTCATACATGATTTATCTATTCATCTATTTATGTTAATCTAAAAAAAGAATGTATGTATTTTCTTCCACACTGTGTGGGCTTTTTACTGAAGGTTAACCCAATACCTTCTATGGGTAAAAGTACTGTATATGTTTGCAATATGTACATATCCCTCAAGGACACAGCAAGGTTACATCCCCTGTGGATTTGAACAGCTCTGGCACAGAAACATATTTATATGAGAAACAACAGTAATGGTCAAAATAGAGAATTCATTATTGAAACCTCTTAAACAGATTGGTACTGTGCTACAGTGATTGGAGTACAATTGTGAGTAAGCCACACGTTTGAATGCAGGTCCAATTATGTTCAAAACCTCAAGCAGCCTTATACTCGGGGTTAGTTGCAACAAAAACAAGAACTCAAATTCAGAGCACACTATTTTGCCGCCACAAACAAACCACCCAATGAGCCCTTTAGCAACCTCACTGTGCTTTGCCGCAGTTGCTGCTGCTCCACAGATAAGCTTGCTTCATGGCAGAAGACAGGAAGCTTATTTCAAGAGCCAGATGAGTCAAAACCCTACTACACTGAGCAGGGCATACGTCACCAATCTAAAAACAATGCAGTGTCTCCCTCTGGTCTCTTTGTTAGATGAGGTCATTGTGTCCATGTAGCTGCCTAATGCTGGTCACAGAAGGCATGTGTTGTCTCTTGTCTGTGATCCAACAACTATGGCCACATAAGTAGGTCAAATGAAGGGAAGAAAAAAAGCCTCTTCGTCCAAACCTTTGGCAGGGAGATGAAGTTAAATAGTAATAAGCCACAACAATTCAACTCAATTGCTGGATAACCAAATGAGGCACATGGTGACCAAAATCATTTTCCTTAGAGACGATTATGATAGTTTCTAAAGGCCAGTTATGGCAACATTATAGACAATATTCCTGTTTTGCTGCTATAGGCTTAGACTGTCGGGGGACACCTTACTTCTTCCTTCTGTCTGTCTGTCTGTACCGTCTGTACCTGTGAACTCTCATGTTCCGAATAACCCAGCTTCCCCCAAATTTCTTTTTGGTTTCTATCTACGCCGGGATCCTGAGTCGTGGCTGATCCTGTATCCTGATCTGAGTCCTGGACTTCGAGTCATGGCTGAATCTGTCACTGTGGTCCTGCCTGACTCTCATCATACTACTTCCCTGATGGCTCCCACAGGATTGTTGACATCCTTGTGGATTCATCTTATTATTATTATTATTATTATAGACACATACATTTTCAAACATTTGGTCTACCTATGTTGTAAATGTATTATCTTTTAGATTTACACACGGCATCTATTGCACGTCTGTCCGTCCAGGGAGAGGGATCCCTCCTCTGTTGCTCTCCCTGAGGTTTCTACCATTTTCCCCTTTAAACTGTGGGTTTTTCCTTCTTTGGAAGTTTTTCCTTGTACGATGTGAGGTTCTAAGGACAGAGGGTGTCGTATTGTCATACTGATATTCTGTGCAAACTGTGAAGTCCACTGAGACAAATGTAACATTTTTGATATTGGGCTATATAAATAAACATTGATTGATGATTGATTCCTGTCAGCCCATTCACCTGCAAAGATATGGCGAGATGTCTGGTACAGTATTTGGTACTGCCAAATAATGCAATTACAAATTGGAAGAGTCTACTATAGCTGGAAAACAAAACAAAGATTTTACAGTGGATTTGGGTATTTGCAAGACATTATCTTGTAGTTTAACCAAACATCAACTAAAATGCCACCTACTTATTAATAGCTGCATAACTGAGTTGTGTGACCATCAAGTAATAGTGAAATATACTTTTGAATAGTGCACCAATTTATAATAGCAATATACAACACTTTGGCCTTTAATCAAAAGACAGGGAGTTGTATTTACTTTCTCTTCAGAAGTGCCAGTATCATGGTAGGTAGACTTTGATAAGATACATAAACAAGGCAAACTAAGTCCATGGTCTTACTTTGTAAGCTGTCTGTCTGTACTGACAGCTCTTAAGTGATCAAAACACTTAACAAACCTACTATCAATCCCTCCACATTTGTTTTTGTTGGTTTAGATGTCAAATGCAATACAAATCAAGGCGGGGTTCTTTACGATTAGCTATAAGTAGGTAGGTAGCAGTTGCTTGTTTCTATGCAACGTCTTAGCATTACACATTCACTACTTTGCAAGTAAATGTAGCTCTCAGTCGGCCATTTATTTAAAACGATGCCCCTATAACGCTACTCTAATCGCCTGTCCTACAATTAGTTAAAGAAGCGAGCAAGTTTAGTAGCTTAAGTCATAGTAAAGAGGTCGCAAACAGTCGTCGTGCAGTCGGGTCGGGGGGCGCTGCAGCTTCTTTAGCTCCTGAGCTAAAGCTAATAAGCTAGCCTAGTAACCATTACAAGCAAACACAGAAACTCTACGCGAGTTACTAGAAGGTAGCAGCGCTGTTCCCCGATAATGCCACCAATATATAACCGTGTATACATAAGATGTAGTGGTTTTTACCTGTAATTCGGCGCGCTCCACCTCCCATTGTGCTCTCTCTACTTCGAAACGGGCCCATTCGTGCTGCAGGAAGTGCAGGATCCCCGGGATACTGTACTGCGCCCTGGCCGCCTCCCCAGCGTCGCCATCAGGCAGCGGTCCTTTCCCACCGCCGGCTAAAACAGAGTTGTTATTGTTGTTGAAGAACACGCCGGGCCCCGCCTGTTCGTCCATGGCCGGGCTCGGTGTAAAGGTCTGTCCGTTGTCTCGCTTGTTCGTGGTGCTTGATATCAACGGAAGGGCAAAAACCTAACGACTGCGCTCGGTCTCCTCGGCTCGAGGGAATGAACTCACTTTCTGACAGCTAGCTGTCATTGAATGACGTCAGCAACAACGGTCACGCCCACAGCATGTTGGATGGGAGCGCTCGTTTCCCTTACCGAGACTCCCAGATTAATTTAACCAATTGTTATCAAAAAGGTAACATGATTCATTGACATTCTGTGACAAATCCTGCAGCGGAATTAATTCAAAGAACTGCGTTAAACTATTGGCTAAATGTGAATTCATGTACAGGCATCATCACAGTGAGGTCAAAGCAACTTTAATCACATTTAAAATAAATAAATTTGGAATGTAACATAGAACAATTTCAACAAATCTGCCAAATTATAATGGTAACAGATGCTCGACCATTTAGGTAGCTATTAGCCTACTTATTGACAGAAATGGATCAAAGTTATAAGCAATACAACAGTCTTGATGATATGCAGCACATATTAAAGTATGTAGTACTAACTCCCCCCATTAATCAGCAGACCGATTAAGTGTCTCTAAGGAATTACAATTTCTGCTCAAAAACTATTCAAAAGTGTGATGCATTTAATATTCAAAGGGCTCTCATAAAATCTGATTCAAATCTCAATGATATGCAGTAAATTCTCAGCTTTGTTTAAAAACATGTAGCAGTAATGTTCACAACATAATTTAAGAAACAAAAACAAAAATAAGACACCAAACAAACAAACAGCGGACCCTAAGGTCATATTCTAAAACCACCCCAATTAAACATGCATGATTGGAAAAATAAATACTGCCAAGCTTATGGTGATGCAAAATCACAGCAAAAATGGCACAGTAAACATTATATTTTGGATAGTGATCAAATAATGACCAGACATAAAAGCATTTATCAGGAAAAAAGATGTGGATAAAAAAAGTAAATTGTGTCCCTTCATAAATGTGCAGTAATGATACATTCAGACAATCAACCTTTCCTGCAGATTTTTAAAGTGAGTTTTCTTTTAAGTCAACATTCAAAAGCTTATTGATGATATGTACACACTTTCCTTCATACCTTTAAGAACAGTTCTCAAACATCAAATCCAAATTAGATGAGGAATAAATAAATACACTTAGGAAACTGCAGTGTGTACTCCGTTGACAGACAACAAAACAGACCTACAAAAGACAACATACATTTAGGCTGTGAGAGTGTACAGAGCATTTTAAGTGGGGTTCAGAAGAAGTTGGTCTTGAGTTTGATGGTGGGGGCAGCCTGCACTTGGGGCTGAGCTAGCCTGGCTGCAGCTTTGGCTCTGCTGCTGGCCTGGTTGGCCAGTATAGCCGATTCCAAACGGATTTTAAGCTCAGGTGCAGCACCAATTACTGTCTTGAAGGCAGCGGGATAGAGGGGGCCAATCCGCATTAAGTTCTGAAGGGCAAATTCATGCAGGGCTCTGGAGACTTGAGGCGCTGAGGAAATGGCATTTTCATCCAAAAGGTAGGAGATGAGGGTTGGCACAAGAAGAGCCAGCAACTGCACCCCTGTTAAACACATAATTACAATGACACGTTCAAAAAGGTAATTGCTAACAGAAAAACGAATAGTGAAAAACAGAAAATGGCTAGGAGAGTTTAACTTCACTGTTTACAAATTGAAGTGAGGCGAGAAATCCAATTCAACTCTACTAACTGACCTATGCATTGGGTGGACTTGACGTATTAATTGGAAACTAAAAATATTACCTTTTGGAAATGAAATGTTCGTTTTAGTAACTTATCAAGCCAATTTACAAACTCCATGGTCAGTTTCACTAGTGTGACGATCAATGCTGAATATCCTTGTTCGTTTTCCTTACAATACAGCAATGATATTATTTCTCGGACAAAAAAAGCCTTCTGTAGAGGCAACCAGGTTTTATGGGCAACTGCTATAAAAACAAATGAATACATTGATGAATCAAGTAAGTAATCTGTAGATCTGTATGAATCAACCAATCTGTCATGCAATGCATCTGTGGTTGCATCTCCATGATGCACAATCTATATCTCCAATAAAAACAGTTTGAACACAAAACATGGAATAAGCTGCAACACACCCTAGCTAAATATAACACATAAAGGAAATCAATCATCTCTTTATAGATTTCCATGCAGTGCAGTTTGCTTTAATATGGAAAAGAGAAAATAGAGATATCATTGGGGAAACAAAAACAAAAAATAATAATATAACATCTACAGTATAGCATAATGTGGAAATCACTAGACAAATTGACAGCAAACCAGTGCAGGGATTCTAAATTCAGCATTGAATGTTCTATACGTCTCCTCTTTGATAACACACATCAAAAGACACTGAGCTAAGACCTTCTTTAATGCAGCTGAACACTTTAATCGAACAAACACAGATCTTTAGTGGTCCATTAGGCGGAGGCATACTTACGGTTTTGATCTTCCCCCATGCCGACGAGATTCTCCAGCACCCTGATGCCCTCCTGCACCGCCTGCAGCTCGGCAGCAGTCCCCGGGCGACTGCGCTCCACCGCCTTCAGCTTTTCCACCATGAGCGGGGCCAGAGCGTGGATGTACGGCGTAGACAGGGCACGGCTAGAGTGCTGAAACACTGACAACAGCAGCTGGTAACACCGTGCCTGAACCTGTGGCAAACAGAATGATATCCCTCACTTAAACATTGTTAAACACACCAGGGATGCATCTTTTGATCAGGCATTAGATATTATCATATTTGAACTGGGTTGGTATGGTGCTTACCCAGGGATCACTAGAGTTGAGGGCGTTTCGGAAGCGGTCCATGCAGCCCTTCTGCAGGACGATTACTCCTACAAGTTCATTGCTGGCAGACAGCAGGAAGAGTGTGATCGCTGTTAACATGCTCACCTCATCCATGTCAGGCCTGGACGCCTCTACAGAAATACACAAACAAGCATGAATACTGTCAATGTTTTCCTTACACCTTCTTCAGTAAGTTCAAAATCAAACATCTGTGTTTGTTTGTGTGCGTTTGCTTACCTGGCTGTGAGTTTTCTAGGACAGACGCCAGGCCGCTCCTCACCAGGCCGCTCCACTGTGTCTGCATGCCCTCCACCCGGGCCAGAGGGGAGGTGATGATGGTCTTGATGCCCTGCAGGGCCGCTGTCACAGTCACAGGCACAGAGTTATCAGCGGTCTTAAGTGCCGTTTCCCTCAGCACCCCCGTGATTAGGAAGAGCACTGTGGGGAGGATGGTCATGCTCCCTGTAGAGCAAAAAGAAACGGTGAACATGGGAGATCGTTTGACAGTGAACACCACATTGCTAGACTTAAACTATATGCTTAATGTAAGGCACAAGGAACCATTGCATCAACAGCTTTTATCATCAGCATACATAAACCTGAAAAAGGCAGGCTAAGCAGGCTAATCATTCTAAATGAATCATCCATGTTGGAACAGAGATTTGCCATCACTGTGTGCTGTGTTGTTGTAGTTTGCTTCGGGCCTCACCGGCAGGAGAGCAGAGCGAGGGCAGTTCTGCCAGGATGGAAACTGTGTTTGCCACCAGGCGGGCGCTTTCCTCAGGGAGCCGCTGAGGCCTGAGTGGCACGTGGCTGGGTGATTCCTTCACACGTGCATTAAGCTGCGGCAAGTGGCGAACCAGGATGAAGACGAGCAGCTCCATGGCTGCGAACACCAGAGACTTGCCCGGGACGAGCTCCCCCGTGTCTGCTCCTTCCCCGAGGCTGGGCTGAGAGTCTTTCTCGCCTTCTTCCTCTTTGCCTGAGCAAAATCACAGTGACCAAAATAACTCATACAGCCACATCATTGAAACAACACGTCTTTAAAGCCTAATGGACTTAATAGATGGTGAGGCAATACAGCACGTTGAGTATGGCATTTTCAGAATATAACAGTGTAATATAATGCAAAATGTGTTAGTGTCTAACCCTTGCCAGCCTTCTGTCGCTGCAGATGGTCCTGTGCGGCCCTGATGGTCTCCTGTACGACAGCAGTGACCTGGAGCTGTACTGCAGGAGGATCCCGAGTCAACAGCAGCCTGTGGAGCACGTTCAGGAGCTCCACAGCCAACAGCTACAACAGAAAAAACAATTACAGTAGTTTCTCTGTGAAACACTGAGGATGTGAACATTGATATTCTACTCATTGTTCCTGGTTCATTGCCAAAAGGCCCACAAGCTGTTGAGTAGAAAAGGGGCTTTTTATACAAGTTTTATACAGCAAAGAGACACATGAACCAATATAAGGGGATGTATCACCACACGTCTTATTTCAAAGCCTCTAACCAATGCAACCGAGAATAAACAACCTGCTTTTTTTGTGAATTTATACACAATCTGTGTATACTTTGAAGCCCTCAACATCTCAATTATGCATTGCGTGGCAGTCAAATGTTTAGAGGAGCATTGGGGTGATCCTTGTCAAGTCATAAAGTCAGTAAATATCACGTGACCCTGTGGTATTCACCAGATATTTACACTAAGGTGATGATCAGGCACTGGTAAATATATCACTGCTGCAAAGTGTAAATGAAAAAGGCCATGGATAAAATACATTGTTGCTTATTTGCTACTTAAAGTTCATCTGCAATCAACAAAGCCAGCCACTGAAACTTGACAGTTTGATTTCTATTGACATAGGATAGTAATGCTGCTTCTGAATTGCAAAGTAAAATTCAAATAATCATATACAAATGCTGTTTACCGAAACACATTTCAAGTTTAAATATCTATATATCTTTTTTTCAAATGTGTACTCACAACTAATTCTAGGAACGTAGGACAAATCTTCCACCAAATATCTCCCCTTATATAATAAGACAAGTCTTTCTGCACCACGACTTGTGTCTTTACCTGGTCCTCTGCGATATGGATCTTAGCGCATGGAGATGCTAGCAGGGTGAACAGGGCGTGCAGGCAGGACATCACATTGTGAATGGGCTCCTCGGGCCGGGGGAAGCAAAGAAACTCTATACTGACACCTGAGAGACAGAACACAGAAATGCACTTAGGGAGTGTTCATGCTATTCTCTTTTTATATCCAATGCTACCTCTTTCACT